AAATCATTGTTTGAACTTTGCAAATGAACATATAGACAAGCCTGATGCATTTTGGAAACAAGTTCTGTGGACCGATGAGGTTGAAATTGAACTTTTTGGCCGGAATGAGCAAAGGTACGTTTGGAGAAGAAGGGGCACAGAATTTAATGAAAAGAACCTCTGTCCAACTGTTAAGCATGGGGTTGGATCAATCATGCTTTGGGGTTGTGTTGCAGCCAGTGGCACAGGGAACATCTCACGAGTAGAAGGAAAAATGGATTCAATAAAATTTCAGCAAATTGTGGATGGTAACTTGATGCCATCTGTGAAAAAGCTGAAGTTAAAGAGAGGATGGCTTCTACAAATGGATAATGATCCTAAACACACCTCGAAATCCACGGGGGATTACATCAAGAGGCGTAAACTTGAAGGTTTTGCCATGGCCTTCACAATCTCCTGACCTCAACATAATTGAAAATCTATGGATAGATCTTAAAAGAGCAGTGCGTGACAGACAGCCCAGAAATCTCAAAGAACTGGAAGACTTTTGTAAGGAAGAATGGGCAAAGATACCTCAAAGAAGAATTGAAAGACTCTTGGCTGGCTACAAAAAGCGTTTACAAGCTGTGATACTTGCCAAAGGGGGCAGTACAAGATATTAACTCTGCAGGGTGCCCAAACTTTGCAGACGCCATTTTTTTGTTTTCTGTTATTTTGAAAGTGTAAATGATGGAAATAAAATCTAACTTTTGTTGACATGTTATAAGAATGTCTAATCTGTAATTTGATGCCTTTTGGAGATTTTTCCATCTTTCCTTGGCTTCTTTATGCACATTAATACAAATTTTTAGCTGGGGTGCCCAAACTTTCGATCCCCACTGTATATATGAAAGTCCCCAATTCAATGTGAAGAAAAAATGTTCTGCGTGCCTAATTATTCTTCCAGAAAGGTGCTGCTGTGCTCAATGAAGCTCCTCAGAAAAAACTGTCAAGCCCCTTCTGAACCAAATTGATCTCAAGCTATAGAGATCAAATGGGCAGATAGTGTCCAAACTCCACACTGACACTCTCACTGACAAATCCAGGGAGGATGGATGGATGACTACGTGTTCACACCAGGAACCGGCTTAACCACTTCATACCGCTCTCCGCAGTAATATATGGAAGGGTTTTAGACAAGAAAAACTTCATAGTGCAACCCCAGTAAAAACAAATGTTTATTAAAGCTAAAGTATTGCACTTACATTCAGATGAGTAAACGAGAGCAGTGGAAAAACAAATCAGCCGCGGTGTCAGTCCGTCGGCAGGTACGTGGTGACGTCACAGAAAGACTTCGCCCTACTATGTAACATGCTCAAACACATGTCCTCCTCACTCCCCCGATCTCCCCCCATGTGACAGTGAGCATGGGATCCTCTCCCCGCACATGTTGTTGCATTTTGAAAACAGCTCCGCCCTCACATCCGCATCATTCATTCACATGAATCTGTGAATGTGAGAACTACAAGTCCTGTCTACTTGTAGTAGACTACAAGTCCTGTCTACCATCATGGCAGACATCTTGTAGTTCTCAGTGAACAATGAGTGCACTGATGAGCATGCTCGTAGTTCATTCACAAGCATTGCAGCTTTCAAACTGATAGCCTTTACAGAGGTACGGCCTGAAAGTTGTAGGGCTTTTTTTTTACAGGAGCCTGACATTGCACTCGTAATACACTGATCACAGGTGCAATGATTTGCAGGCTCTTGTGGAAAAAAATATTGCATGAATAGAAAATATATATTGCATACATACAAATATGTGCATTTATTATATTTTCCCGAAGGGTGAATTTAACACAAACAACCTTGCATTCACTATGTATGAATGAACCTTGCATTCATGTATGTATGTTGAGCAGGGTTCTGTATAATCTAACTCCTTGGAGGACAAAATTCTCTGTTACTGGTGATCTTCCCACAAAGATTTCTTGTGACTTTCCTGGCACATTCCGTGCTAATGAAAAGCTGCAGCGGTAAGGGTGTAGGCAACAGTCATTAAAGCATGGCCGATTCTAGTCTATTGTGCACCCTACTTGCACCCCCCCCCAAGAAAAAAAAATAAAACTTTAGATAAAACTTCAAAAAACTCCACTAAGAGCGAAACTTTGCCAATGTTAACTCCGTATGGAGACTGACTGGGGAGCTGGGAGGAAGCATGGCTTGCCCAGCACTTTATTGACTGTATGCCTCTTCTTCACGGATTGGTTGACAGTTGCAGGAGACAGCTTCATCTCCAGCTAATATCATCCAATCCTGTCTGGGGACAGTGACACCAAGACCCATAAGTGATGATTTACACATTGTTTCTGGTTCTTTAACAGGAAGGAGAGATCAGTGAACAGATGTTCACTGATCTTCCCTTCTACCGATGGCACCCACCATGCAGGCCCCAGGTCTGCTTTTGGGAGTGCGGAGCCTGGGAAGCATGGCAGGGCACATGGGGGGTGTGGAAGCCATCTGGAGTCTGCACAGCTATTAGATCATTTTCACCTGACAGTCAGCCTGTCAGATTTACTCACACTCAACGAGATGCTTCCTGTTAGTTCTTATTTACACTTGTGTTTGAGGGACATTAAAAGTGTGGCTCAGCCACACATTTTTAATGTCCCTGAAACACAAGTGTAAATAAGAACTAACAGGAAGCATTCCACTGTACTCAAGTGATTGTCACCATTATCATGATAATGATCACACAGTACCAGGGGTGGACTGACAACTCATGGGGCCCCCGGGCAATAGGGGATCATGGGGCCCCTGTGTCCTTGCCCAAACTCAAAAAAGCCTATGAAAAAGGCACGAGGGGCATCTCATGGGGCCCCCTACTGACCGAGTGCCCGAGTTTCCAAATGGTCAGTCCGCCCCTGCACAGTACAGAAGGCGCTGTATGTCTGCCTGTATATAGCATAAGGCTGTATCTCTGTTTGTGCCTCAGAAAACAGAAATTGTGAGCTTGCCTGTGCATAAGGTTCCCATTGCTGCCTGTGCCCTCGGCCACCTCTCTGTTGAATCACCTCGACCGCCAGGCTACAGCCTTGCCTTTGCCTTTGCCTTCCGTCCTCCAGCAGAGGAAGGGATAATCACTCCACCAATGAAAGAATCACTCTGCCAGGGAAAGGCTGTGAGCAGCTGCGGCTGGCCGCCACTGGTCAACATGCAAAGCTTTAGCCAACCTGCGCTCAAAATTAAAAAAAAGAGTACCCCACTGCTTCTTTCCTCCTGGGCCCCTCTGGTGAACTGATGGGCCCAGGGAAAATATAATTAATGATACATCAGGGTCCGTTGTACTGCCCTCTCGATGCCCCTGGCCACGCCTGCACCCTAGGCTGCTGCCTAGTTTGCCTAGTTGTAGCACCGACCCTGCATCAAAGACAGATTTTTTGCTCATGTGGCTGTAAGTATCCCTGATTTTGGGAGCACTATACAGTACAGTACACAGTTGTTATATATTGATTAAAACAGTTCATGAGCACTTAGGAATGCTGGGTTTTATTTTACTTATGTTTTACACTTGTTTTTTTTTTTAAAACAAAGGAAGAGTAAATGCTTTGAGCAAAAAACATAGTTTTTATCTGACACTTCAGGTCCATAATACATAAAAACAAGAAATTCCAGCAGTGCAAAGTTAAGACAGTGAAAAGCAGTAAAAACTGTCCAAGAGTAGAGATCTGTATATCATAATGAACCAGAATGACATAGTACAGTCCTCACTAATGCAGAAAGTCTGACATTGTTATTATTCATATTTGAAAATCAGTAATATAGTTTGGGTTACTTGCATCATTTTGAAAGTGTTCCATGACCGAGTTCATTACTGTCAGAGCGGGCAATGAACACCATTGAAATACTAATATCACATAGACACAATGTTAAACAAACTGTGAAACACTGAGGAAATTCACTGTCAGGGAGAAATCTTTTTCCTGTCATCAACAACTAAAAAGATTAACATTTGCCAGCGCCACATATTGAAAGCAGTTTTGATTTGTAAAAATAATAGGGTTTGCAAAAAAATGTTTAGCTTTTAGTGGCTTAGTCACTAGTTCTTAAACTAAACATTCTGTGAATATTCCTTTAAATTCTGCAAATGTGTACCATGTCCTACCATGGTTATTGGAGTGCAAATTCTTCAGAAGGCAAATTTGGTCTCACATATGTTATTTTTTATTTTAATGTATGCAGTAAGCCAGATCTGACGTAGCTGGCATGCTGTGGCAAGAAATAAAGTATTCATTCTTTTGCATTCCACCCATCATCCTCAACTAAGTGGAAGTTGTTTGACTGCCAGGGCACCTTTGGAAACATCATTTAAAAAATTAAATATACATTTTGAGATGAGAAGATATTAAACCCCCCTCCGGTCCGGTGCCAAACTAAATACAGAAATAGACAAACTTAGAACAAAATCTTTTTTGTATGTGTAAGTTAATCTTAAATCTTCTTAAGTGGGATATTTTCTTGGCTTCCAACTGTTTGGTATCAATCTCATACTAGATGACATTTAAAGGGAAAACACTGGCAATAACAACTTGCTCTCCAGAGGATTTACCCCCCTTCCTGACCAGGCCATTTTTTGCGATACTGCACTGCGTTACTTTAACTGACAATTGTGCAGTCATGCAACACTGCATTCAAATGAAATTTACGTCTTATTTCCCCCACAAATAGAGCTTTCTTTCGGTGGTATTTGATCACCTCTGTGTTTTTTATTTTTTTTGCGCTACAAACAGAAAAAGACCGACAATTTGACTTTTTGCTATAAAACATATCCAATAAAAAAATGTAAAAAATCAAATTTCATCATAAATTTAGGCCAAAATGTATTTGGCTACATGTCTTTGCTAAAAAAAAAATCCCAATACATGTAAATGAATTGGTTTACATGAAAGTTATAGCATCTACAAATGGCGGTATATATACCGCAAATTTTATTTGTTTTTTTAATACTGGTAGTGGCGGCAATCAGAGACTTTTATAATGGGACAGCGGGACTGCAGCAAGCATTCTGACACTGGGGGGAACTGACTAACTGCCACTGACATCCCCAGTGACACTAATACAGTGATCAGTGCTAATAAAAAGCACTGACACTGTACTAATGATACTGGGCAGGAAGGGGTTAACTTTTGGGCAATCAAAGTGTTAACTGTGTGCTGTGTGTGTTTTGCTATGTGTGTTGTGCGCTGTGTGTGTTTTGCTATGTGTGTGTGTTGTGCGCTGTTTTACTATGCAGACATGCTGCTTTGTATATCTCTGCTGTGCAGAGAAATACAAAGCAGCATGTGCTTGCTGACAGGAGAGAGACCTGTGTTGTTTACACACAGGTATCTCCACTGTTAGCTTTACACGGCGAACGCCAGCGGGGAATCTCTGGTCGGGACCCAGTGATTGACATTCCTAGCCGCTGATGTTGGTGCGGGTAGGATGGCATGTGCACGCGCGCCTCCTACCCGGTTATGCAAATCACGTATATATATGTGATTTTGCGCAGCCCTGCCGCCCTGTAGCAGTACTTCTACTCAGTGCTGCTGTTAGAAACCACAGGGCCACTAACAGCCAATCTGACAGCCCCCCCCCCCCCCCTCCCAAAAAAAAACAGTTTTCTATGCTTCAGTTATGAACGATCGGTACTGATCACTCATTGTGTTCATTCAGGAAAGGAAGGGGCTGGTAAATGTGACATATTTACTGGACCCTTCACCCACTCTCCCCCCTGAAGGATCCTATAGTGTGCTTGCAGATGCCGGTGGGAAGGAGAGGAGGGAAGCCGGCAGCACTGTGTGGGTGGGGGAACAGGGGGGTTTCGGGCAGCAGGGGGAAACATATGGTTCCCAGGGAGGGTGATGGGTGCAGCGGGGAAGGGGGCAATTACTGGAACCGATCCTGTGTATGGCTCTCTACAGCAGCTGAAAGCCAGCGGGAGGAAGAGGAGAAGAAGCCAGCTTTTAGCTGCTGCAGAGAGAGCCATACAGGGGATTGGTTCCAGTAAATACCCCCCCCCCATGCAAATCACCATCCCTGACCACATCAGCTTCACCCAGCTGCCTGGGCCCCCCTCCTGGCCTGGGCCCCGTACAGGAGCAATGGCGGTGGTACCCCCTTATCCACGGCCCTTCTTCTACTGTAGGGCGGCTGCAAGTGGTTAATATACAGTATACATCATACATTTTTAAAAAAATTATGCATATTTGCTAAATTACATAGGCAAACATGATTAACTATTGTAAAAATGTACCGTATATAGCATTAAGGTGATTGAATATCACACTCGGATGAGTACATAAAGGGATTTGTGACATCTCCATATAGTGCAGAAAAAATGGTTTTATTTACACATCTACAAATATACCTATACTTATATTTTGAAAAATCACTTTTGACAAATAAATTGAAAAATTACAAAATGTGTGAGAAAATATACCACTGAAAAAGTGCAATAAAGAAGAACAGACACAGTATATCCTTGGGAGTAAGTCTTGCAGCTCTAGGGATCTGCTGCCCTCTACTGTCAGTTGCTAATATCACACTGTAATGTGTAATTATGTATGTCGCTTCCAGACTCTGGAGTTGTTGGGAACATATCCTGGAACAAGGAAGTGGAAAGAGCCACATGTCCTGTCCATGCTACAATACCAGATCAGAAGAGACAAATATGCAAGTATTTCTATGTTCTAACAGTTTAACTGCAGCTGCCCATAGCTTCTTGAGTGTATCCTCATGATAAACAGAGTATCCTTGTCCTATTACTATCTCACATGCAGAGTGCCAGATAATAGGACTGCATTCCAGGCTGGTTGGGTAATGGCTGAAGGGTCTCCTCATCATCTCAGATCTTATCTTCAGGTCTCTGACACAAAGACAGATGCCGCATCATCCTCAGGGGTCCCTGCAATGGGACTTTGCTGCAACATTCATCTGGAGCTATCTCTGGAGATAACTATATATACCCGGGACCTGGGTATATGTGCACAATTCCACCAGAACACCTCTTGGGCCCTCTGCTGATAAAATCTGTTTATACATTGTATGTACTGTTATTAATATTTTCTTACATAAAGTTTGTGTTATTTCTATACTGGTATGCATCTATATGCTTATGATTAATTGTATATGCTGGTTGCAGTAGTTCTTCTGCTTTCAATTACTTTGATTACATTACTGGTTAATTTCCAAGAAAAAGAATCCAAGCTGTTTTCAGAGGCCCTGTCCTGGGTGAAGGCATTGCCAACTTTATTATCAAGCCCATTTGCCCAGGTACTCTTATTTACTTACTGGTTTAGTAGAATATTCTGTTTGGGGAGGGCCATTTATCCTACCCGCCTTCCCTAAAAAAAAGGCTACACACTAATTATAATGGAGTTTGTTAGTGACACCAGCTAGAAAGAAACTTTAGTAAATCAAAGTGTCTTTAGCACAATGGCAAACGACTGTAAGTGACGAATGCTCAGTCAGCCAGCAGCAGTGGTAAATTAGCAGTGGTGATATTCTGGCACTCTTTTTTTGTTTTTTGTTTATAAACTTTTTATTGAGAAAAAAAATATGCCAGATACAATACAAAATAGAAACATCCATGTTTATAAAAATAGTATAACTTTAGTAGGCATAAGAGCCAATAACTTTACAATGTTATAATAAACACAGATCAAATGGAGATTTTTTTTTAACCAGTTCCGCCCTTCCCTATAGCAGAAATACTGCTACAGGGTGGCATGGGGGTGCAAAATCACATATATATATGTGATTTTGCAGTTCCGGGTAGGGGGTGCGCGCGCCCTACCCATGCCACCATTCGCAGCCTTGCCTGTCAATCACCGGGTCCCAGCTGTTGATTACTCAGCTGCACCCAGTGATCGAGTATCTTTGACAGGGGAGAGACCTGTGTATAAACAACACAGATCTCTCCCCTGTCAGTTCCTGCACACTGCTTATTATGGCCCTGCGTAGCAGAGCCATACAAAGCAGTGTGCCTACAGTGAAGCACACACACAGCCCCCATAGTGAAACAGCACACAGTTAACCTTTTGATCACCCCAGATGTTAACCCCTTCCTGCCCAGTGCCGTTAGTACAGTGTCAGTGCTTTTTATTATCACTGTATTGTGTCACTGGGTCTGTCAGTGACACCAAGTCCCTTCCCCCCAGTGTCAGAATGCCCGTCGCGGTCCTGCAGTCCCGCTATAAGTCGCTGATCACTGCCATTACTAGTAAAAAAAGAAAAAAAAATCCAGTATTTATACCACCATTTGTAAATACTATAACTTTCACGTAAACCAATTAATTTACACGTATTGGGATTTTTTTTAGCAAAGACGTAGCAGAATACATTTTGGCCTAAATTTATGATGAAGTTTCATTTTTTAAATTTTTACTGGACATGTTTAATAGCAAAAAGTAAAAAATATTGTTTTTTTTTCTCAAAATTGTTGTTTTTTTCTTGTTTATAGCGCAAAAATTAAAAACTGCAGAGGCAATCAAATACCACTGAAAGAATGCTCTATTTGTGGGGAAAAAAAAGGATGTAAATTTCATTTTGGTTCAATGTTGCATGATCACGCAATTGTCAGTTAAAGTAACGCAGCTCCATATTGCAAAAAATAGCCTGGTCAGGAAGGGGGGTAAATCCTCTGGAGGGCAAGTGGTTAAATATGCTCATCCAATAACAACCACAAAATAAAATATAAAAAAAAAATTAAAAAAGGAAGGGTACATGAGACATATCATATGCAGTCATACCAACAATACCATAATAAGAGATTTGTATATATGAAAAAAAAAAACATTAGTCCACTATTGTATTGAAAATAAAAGACCTGAAATCCCATTTTGCATGAAAGATGTGCATGGAATCAGAAAGATTGTGAAAAATTCTCTCTGACAACATAATAGTATTGATTCTGTTTTTGATCTGTGCAAAAGGTACGGAATGATTTTTTTCTAATTAAATGCAATGGCCTACATTGCTGCTACACATAGTGTGTGGAATATTTTTTTCTAAGGATTAAGGTACATTGGGGATAGGAGCAAATGATAAACACATGGGCGGAGTGAGAGTAATAGAATTAGATGATAACTGAGAAGCTAAGGTTGATACTCTTTGCTATGTTCGGTGTAGCTTTTCAGCTCCAAAATGTATGAAAAAAGGATCCTTGCAGGTCATTACAGCCTCTAAAACAACAACCAGAAGCTCAGAAAGCATGTTATGTAATTGAGAAGCAGTAAAATACCATCTAGTTAAAACTTTTTATAGCTGTTTCTCTAATAGAGAGAGAACGTGTGCATTTACGAAGATTACCTATCAAAGTTGACCATTTCTCTAAAGAGAATTGTTCTTCACATTCCTGTTTCCATTTTATCATATATGCCATTTTTTCAATTGTGGGTGTGGATAATAATATGTTACAAAGTGAAGAAATAAGGCCTTTCTCTCTAGTGGAACTTTTTCAGATTTTTTTTGGAAGGGAATAGGAGGTTTAGGTGTAAAATGAAGCAAAACATTGCCCAATTTTATAATATCTATGCATTTCATAATATCGAATCTTCTTAAGGGTATGAAGTCTTAAATTAAATTATCTTGGAGGGCAGAAAGGGTAGTAAATTTATTAGACACCCACCAAAACAAATTGCCCAGAGTGGAAAAAGCAGCTGCAGATTTTGGGTCACCTAAAAAAGAAGTCATTGGTGAGACTGGGGAAACTAGTGTTTTATGTTTATACAGGTGTTTATGGTGTTTATGTTTATACAGATTCCAAATTGAAGGGATTGGGCTACCAAAGAGTTAAAGGGGGCTAAGGCCGAGTGAGAAATAGTATGGGACCACAAAAGTCTTGGGAGATAATATGGATATATTGAACCCATTTCAAAATTTAATCAATTGGATCTTGGGGTGATGAATATTCCATTGTGCAAGTTGAGCAAATCTAGCTGCTAAATAATATGCAGTACACCTAATCCTCCAGAATGTTGTGAATTATAAAGAACCCTTTGGGAAAGCCTAACGTGTTTATTTAACTAAATAAAATTATTCACCTCTTTCTGAATCCCATTTAAAAATGCTTTATATATTTTATTTGGGAGGGCTCTAAATAAGTACAGTAGCTTTTGTAATACACTGATTTTGATCGCTGTCACTCTACCTGGCACTCTTTTTTAGCATGACACTATTGAACTTATAGTTATACAATTCAATACCTACAAATATTTATTTGTAAGTTAACAGTTCAGCAGTTTGATTTGTGGTTCTTAGTAGCTGCCTAGTGTAATGGTATTCCAGTTGATGGTAGATCTTTTATTGGGTATTACCATTACATGCCAAGCTCAAACTACAAGCT